GGCTGGCAGTTCAAACCCACCAGCCACTCCTCGGAAGGAAGGTTGGGCAATCTACTTCTGTAGTGGTACTGCCTCGGAAACCCAAGGAGGGGTCGCTATGAGTCGGGTTTGACTCAACAGCACATAACAACAACAACAACAGTGAGCTAAGATGGACTGGTATTGACCATTTGAACCAGACATACATATAGGCTACTATGCCAGGAATGACAAAGTGAAGAGGAATGGCATCACATTCATTGTCAAAAGAACAACCTGCGATATGCAGATGGCACAACCTTGCTTACTGAAAGCAAAGAGGACTTGAAGCACTCACTGATGAAGATCAAAGACCACAGCCTTCAGTATGGATTGCACCTCAACATAAAGAAAACGAAAATCCTCACAACTGGACCAATAAGCAACATCACTATGAATGGAGAAAAAAATTGAAGTTGCAAGGGATTTCATTTTACTTGGATCCACAATCAACATCCACGGAAGCAGCAGTCAAGAAATCAGATGCCGTATTACACTGGGCAAATCTGCTGCAAAAGACCTCTTTAAAATGTTAAGAAACAAAGATGTGACCTTGAGGACTAAGGTGTGCCTGACTCAAGTCATGGTGTTTTCATTTTTCTCATATGTACAAGAAAGCTGCACGATGAATAAGGAAGACTGAAGAAGAATTGATGACTTAGAATTATGGTATTATTTATGAATATTGAATATGGTGTGCCAAAAGAATGAACAAATCTGGCTTGGAAGACGTACAGCCAGAATGGCCCTTGACAAGGAAGATAGGGAGACTTCATCTCAGTACTTTGGTTATGTTCTCAGGAGGGACCAATCCCTGGAGAAGGACATCATCCTTGCTAAAGTAGAGGGTCAGCAAAAAGAGGAAGACTCCCAATGAGACAGATTGACACAGTAGCTGCAACTATGGGCTCAAGCCTAGCAACAATTGTGAGGATGGCACAGGTCTGGGCAGGGTTGTGTTCTGTTGTGTATAGAGTTGCTATGAGTTGGTACCTACTTGACAGCACCTAACAGATTGATTCCTGTTTTCACTATCAAAAATAGAACTATTATGACAATATTTGTTCAATTGCCTTTTCCTTTTGATTTGTTTCCTTAGATTGTGTGAAGATAAGCAAGATTATTGGGTAAAAAATATGCAAGGTTTTATAGGTCTTGTTACAAACTGCCAATTGATTTTCTAGAACAGTGATTTCCAGTGGACGAGGAGAGGGTATGTGTAGTTTGAAAAAATATATTCAATATTTAATTTTATATTATAAAATCACTGTTTCATAATACAAACTACAGAAAATAAAACTCTACACTTGACTGCTAACCAGAAGGCTGGCGGTTCAAACCCACCAGCCACTCCTCGGAAGGAAGGTTGGGCAATCCTACTTCTGTAGTGATACTGCCTCGGAAACCCAAGGAGGGGTCGCTATGAGTCGGGCCGATTCGAAGGCACATAACAACAACAACAGCAACAACAAAATCCTGTGGGGGAAGGGAGTGTAATGATTGATAAACAGCTCTACTAAAACAATTGACAAAACTTCACTTTATAGTAAAATTAAATTACAGTCTTTAAGCATAGACTAAGTGACTAAGGGGGAGGGAGACAGAAGTGCCTCATGTGGGTGAAAGGAGCCAGCCTGGCATTGGGAAAGTCTCCATTGATATTCCTGTCGAGGTCCGGTCATTCTCTGTGCATTTTGGATGAGTCCTGACGTAACTTCCTTGTTCATGCAAATCACCCAGGAGAGCTCGCGAAAATGCAGATCCTGATTCAGCACTTCTGGAGGTGGGCCTGAGATCCAACATTACTAGCAAGGTTCCAGGTGTTGTTGCTGCTGCAGGCCCGCGACCGCAATTTGAGTTGCATGGTTTCAGATCTCTTCCGTCTATAACCTATTATTATGAGAGTTGACTACAGGTGGTCAGTTGCTTCAGCAATTTGAAAGTGTAACAGATGGGCAATTTCTTAATTTGGGGGTTTAAAGCAATTTTGCTCATTCAGAAATTTGAGGAGTTGGGGAAGGTAGGAGATTGTTAACATTAGATGGGTTAATCATGAGAAGTTTTATGAGCCACTGACACCAGGTTCAGAGATTGAAGAGGGTAAGAACTTTTGAAGTGGTACTCAGGTTCCTGCTGCTTAACTGAAAGTAAGATAAAATCAGATTCGTTAGGAAATAATTTTTTCAAAACAGACTCATTTATTTTGACTAAATGAGGCTGAATGATAGTAGGAAGATAGATTCATTGTATTTTTCAGAGGCCCACTGTTTTAGAAAGTGAAAAACTGACTGCTTATGATTGTGCTTACATTATTGCTGAGATTTTAAATAATGCACTTTCATGTCACCATTAACGATACAGAATTACTGACATGAATTGCTTCCCATTGGGGAAAACGAAACTGAAGGACTAGGCTTTTTCCCTGCTTCTATCTTCATTTTGCTGTGTGTCTTTAAGAAAATCACTTAAAGCTGGAAGTTTCAAGTTCCCAAGGTGAACAATGGAAATCAAAGCTCTTGCCTTGTTCCCTGTAGAGTACTTACTGAAATCAGTGGGCTTTAAGATAGGTTTCTATTGCTTAAAAGAAGATTTTAACGCTGTAATATTTTACATTTATTCAGCATATTAGATATAGGCATATCTCAAACTGCTTTATATAAGATCTAAAAATTCCAGGAAAACCTTCATAACAAAAATGAAACATTTCATATAACAATGCCAGCAATTAAATTGACCTTTTGTCCTGTGTCACAAGTCAAATGACACAGTGTAGAGGGTTTTAGGTGCACTTATTTGCCCTTTAGGTAATCAGTACTGATGAATATTGATTAAATGTATAGGAATTTAATTCACATATTTAAAGACGTTAATTTCATGGCAAACAGGCTCCATTACTCAATCATGACCTTCTGCTTGGAATGCTTTAGCATTATCTGTTCTTGTAAGTTTGAACACATTTATTTTAACGAGAGGTTACTGGAGGTCCTAATCAAAGATCTAATATTGACCCAAACTTGTGCTCAAGAAAAGCAGTCTGAAAATGTATTAAATGAAACCCTATTGATTCAGTTCAGATTCATAATTTGAAATAATTCACTATGAAGTTTACTTTTCTGTGAAGTGAAAGTTTGCTGGGCAAATTATGTTGTACTACCTCATATCCTAAAATATAATAAATAATATATACTCGTTACAGGGTGGGGATTGAGAGCTGCAGCTCTAGAGTTAAAATGGGCCTGATTCAAATCCCAGCTTTTTGGCTTGTCATTTAGTATGGCTTTGGTTACGTCTTAAAGTCTCGGTTTTCCAATCTATGAAGTGAATTGCACACTATAAAGTGTATAGGATTGTTGTGGGGTCCAAAAGAGATCAGGCATGCGAAACTCTCGGTGTAGTGGAGATAAATTTTACAGATATACAATATGCATACATATACACCAAGTAATGGTGGACAATGCTTACCCCGTTAAAACGATAAGCTGCTTTTGAATACTTTAGCAGTACTTCTTTTTATTCAAATTATTATTATATTAGATCACATCATATCATATCATATGAGCCTTGGTGGTGCAATGGTTAAGCACTGGACTGCTAACGAAAAGATCGGCAGTTTGAACCCATGGGAGCAAAGACCTGGGATCTGCTCCCGTAAAGACTGCAGCCTAGGAAGCCCTCGGGGGCAATTCTGCTCCATCTTATAGGATTGCTATGAGTCAGAATCGACTTGATGGTACAGAACAACAGCATATTATATAATAATATAAACTAATGTATGGATTATTATATATAATTATACTATTAAAACCCAAACTCACTGCCATCGAGTCAATTCTGACTCATAGTGACCCCCATTGGGTTTCTGAGACTATAAGTCTTTACAGAAGTAGGTTGCCCCATCTTCCTTCTGTGGAGCAGCTGGTTGGTTTGAATCACTGACCTTCTGGTTAGCAGTCAAATGCTTTATCCACTACACCACCAGAGCCCCTTCTATATTACAGTAGTCATATGGTATTACTGTATTATTAATATTATGATTAATATTACTATTTCTAAGTAGGACTGACAGTACTTTAACCTACTGAAATGCTGTTTTCACTTAAAGCTTTATGTGTACTTAAACATAAGACTACACTTCATTAAAGCTATTTAAAAAATCACAGTTTTTACCAATTACAACAGGTCCCTAGTTTCCTTCCATCTAAACATTCTTTCAAGTAGATAAAAATCAGGTCTTTAGGAGTGTGAGCTAACCACAATTCCAAAAACTGAAAAAGAAAGAAGGCTGACTTGGCAATGTAGTTAGGCTGATAGGGTATTTGTACCAGCAAGTTAGATTTTCCACACTTTTCTTCCTACGTATGCGATGGTGCCATATACGTGTATGCCAGTATACGTAACATGTATATGTAATGGTAAGCTCTAGTTGAGAGCATCCATTGTTCTTTTGGGATTTTTCAGTAATGGAAGTTTATTCTTTCACAGGTATCAAGGTTACATTTATACATACCGAGTGTCCCAGACAGAAACAGGTTCTTGGAGTGCCGAGGTACAGCTCTTTTATTGATTTTTTGCTTCTGTGGGCATCAGGGAAGTGTTTGAAATTTAGGCTGGTTTTATAAAAGTGCAATCAAAGTATACATTACCAAAATATTCATCAGATTCAGATCACTAAAGCCTCAATCCAAAGTTGTTCATGGATCATTAAGAAGCCTGGAGAGAATTTTGGTCCCAGTCTTGTCCAGCCACCTTGGCGTAGAGTGGTCTGACTTTGGGGGAAAGATTTTGAAAGCTGAAAAATTGTGTCAAAATTTCTCTGAAATTTTAGCAAGCATATCAAGTATCAAAAATGGATGAAATGATTAAACCAGCAATAATTTGCTGAATGATACTAATATGAGTGTTGGTGCTACGGGGCTAGGGGAAGGGTGGGGGAGAGGAGATTGAAAAACATGATTCCTATTTTCTAAGAGCCCTTGGGGAAATACTAGTAACCGGTCTCCCCAGATTCCATGTCTGGTTGCCCCACCCCTCCCTACTAGCTCTATATGACCTTGGGCAAGCAACTTTTCTGTGACCCAGTTTCTTTGTCTGTAAAATGAGCCTAAGAACAGTCCCTTAGTCATAGGGGTCATTGTGAGGATTAAATGAGATAATGCATATAAAGGAAGCTCTTAGCCACACCCCTTGCATGTAATAAACCAAAAACAAACATAACTGCCATCACCTCATAGCTAACCTGCAGGACAGAGTAGAACTGCTCCATAGGGTTTCCTAGGTTGTAAATCTTTATGGAAGCAGACTGCCACGTCTTTCTCCCATGGAGTGGCTGGTGGGTTCAAATCGCTGACCTTTTGGTTAGCAGCCACTTTAACCACTGTACCGCCAGGGCTCCCTAAAATAGCCAAACAGTATAAGGTTGTATTTGTCAAGGGCTAACTTAAGCGTAGAGGTTCAGAGAAGGGCTGCTGATTACGTGTGGAGGCAGCACTGAGCTGAGCTGTGTGGGCGGCACTTGAATGGGTGGAATACAGAGGAGAGAATATTGCAGTGGTTTGTAGACTACACTCTGCAGGATCCTGGAGTTCTACCTGAGCGCCTGGGTACTAGCTGGGGGTGGCAGGGGGAGAAGGGGAGAGAAGTGGCAGTGCTTTTGGTTTCCAGCCTGGCTTCAATCTGAGCAGATCCCTTCTGTGATTTTACTTAGGAGCTGGGACTCTGAGCAGGATTTCATTAGGGAGAAAGGATTCTACTACTTTAAAAATGTTTAAAAGCCACTATACCATTCCACCAAGTGCCTGTAGAGCATTTTCATGAACAGGGTAGCAGATCATATCTTGCCAGTGGAAAACTTTCCCCCTCAAATGCTTTCTCTGGTTTCTGACCCTTGAAAACAGCCTATCTCTATCGTGAAAGTACTTCTTTATGAGCTGTTTGAAAACACAAGTACTAATCAACCCTTGTCAATAACTCAACCAATCTATGCATTTAAGGAACTCTATAGAGCAGTTTTGGTGGCATGCTGCCTAAGGCATTTGACTGCTAACCGGAAGGTTGGCAGTTCAAACCCACCTAAAGACCAAAAAAAGAATTAAAATGGCTCTTACCTTTAAAAATTCATCCATAAACGAAAATACACAAATTGTGGACCACAAATATTTTGAACTTCTAGGATGAACTAGGGCAAGTTGTCAAAAACCTTGTCGCTTTATATCAGGATAATTAATGCAGTGGTACTAATGAGAGGAAAAGCAGTACCATTTCTAATCAAAATTCTTTTTCGCTGTTTATTATTATTTTTTTAATTCCCTGCATCACGGTCAAGATGATTGGAAAAGAAGTTAAACTTCATTTATTACGAAGGCTATTTATGTATGATATACACATATTTGTATATAATTTGATACAAATATATACTTATATATTTGATGTAAATAGCCCTTCTCTATAGAGCTCTGGTAGCATAGTGGCTAAGGCACTTGACTACTAACCAGAAGGGCGGTTCAAACCCACCAGCCACTCCTCGGAAGGAAGATGGGGTGGGTAATCTACTTCCGTAGTGATACTGCCTCGGAAACCCAAGGAGGGGTCGCTATGGGTCGGGTCCGACTCGCCGGCACATAACAACAACAACATAGAGAAGTAGCCTTCAGCTGCTGACGAATAGCCTTTATGGAAAGGATCTCAAAATTTTAGGGTTTAACAACTTGATTTTTAAACTTACTTTTCTCTGGTGCAAGTGTAACAGCCTATGCAGATTGTTCCATGCTTTGTGATCGTGTTAAGGAAGACAGGGTTTATTGCACATAAAGACTCCCTCATCCTGTTGTCTGATCTGATCTCATTTATATAATAATATTGCAATTATCTGCACTAAGAGAGCAGAAGATTGGCATGGATTAGCCCCACATGGAAAACAGTTCAAAGAACCCTTTAGATTTATTTTTGAAATGCATATTACATCTTTTTCCATCTACTAAATTTGCCTTCTTAGTTATGTTTTGCTAAGGTAAATATTAAATTAGTGTTTATTCTCAGAGCTCACACCACCTGACTGCAAGAGCTTTCTCTAGAGCATATTGAAGACCAGCTGTGATCCAAAACATGTTTCCATGGATAACTAAGAGGCGACAGTATGAGAGATGTGCAAATATGAACAATAGCTGAGTCCGATGACAGGATGGGAGTTGTCAATGGTGCGATTTTTGTGGTGAAGTTATTTTCACAATTGGGTACATGATAGATATTTATACTACTTTTTTTGAGCAACGCTTTGGTTTGCCACACTGCAGGAATATCGTGGCAGTAGCACTCTGTGGTCCATGCAAAGGTTGTTCTAGAAATCTAGGGAAGTCTGGAAATTGTTGCAAAGACTGAAAGGAGAATAAACCCTGGATTGACTGAATTATGAAGGACAACTATCATATGAATTTCTAGTTTTAGAAGGACTTTTCAATTTGATTATTGCCTAATGTATTAACTTAATCATATGTTCCGGAGCTAAAATTTTATTTTTAACTCATGGCTGACCTCTCCCTGCTGACTTCAGTGCCTTTGGGCTTCTCTGGGTATTTGATTATCAGTAGATACTGAATAATTTTAGTTATTAATCTAAGCAAAACACTCTAAATTAGGTCATCCATTTGTCAATGAAGCATTGCGTCCCAAATTCAAATCGCTTTTATATCTCCAGTGCTATTATTCCTCTCTGTTAGCATGGATAACCAAGTGTTAACTGCATATCAGTCTCCATAGAAAAGATGCTTTTGTTGATAAATGGTTTTACAAGCCACAAGAACAGCTAAAAGAGATGTTTGGTTTGAAATCTTTCCACGCTGAGGGAGTGCATAGTTTCTCTTCTAGTTGGTGACTAGCTTTACTGGAACCTGTTTGGTACAGTCCATATCTGAAAGGCAAAAGACCAGGTCCTGGGATCAAGTGCCAGTTCTGCCCCTTGTTATCTGTGTGACCTTGGGCAAACTGACTTATCTCTTGTACTTCCATTTTCTTATCTGTCAAATGAAAAGAAGTGAATCAACCAAATGGCCACAGTCTGTGAGGAAATAGGGGAGCAAGAGATGGGAAAGTGCTTTGGGGAAAAAAAAAAATCAAAAGCAGGCATAATGAAGCATTCTGTGCTTATAGCTTGCTTTACAGTTTGTAGATGCAATTGAGAAGCCAAAGAACTGTTTGGACCCCTGCAAGAATGGCCATGGATTATTTTAGATGAGATCGCATTGAGTTTCAGGAAAGTGTTTTGACCGCAGGGACAGAGCTGAGCGGAAGGATATTCTACATCTATTGAGGCTTCTAGCTGTGTAAGCCTAACTTGGAACCAAAAAGAACATTCTACTGAGACTTCTGCATTGTTTTCCATGAAATATTACTTAACGCCGATGTAGGAAATGACCAAGACTTACAATGAACTGTGTTCTATCTCCAGCGTTTAGTCTAGTTGACAGAAGTCTGCCTGCCAGCCTTCACATTTTCTCATTAAATGCTAAGAAACAAACAGCTCCTACCTCAAAAATCTTCCAGATGGAATAGCTGAAAAACAACTTTCTAAAAAAAACTAGTCATTGTTCAATTGCTCATAGCAATACTCTTTTATTTCATGTAAAATGACAGTTTGGAGTTGATGCCTAAAGCTTGGCTCATAAGCTTTTGCAGGAAACGGTTGTGAGTGTCTCTGCAAGAGGCTGGATGCCAGGGAAGGAATATATTTTAATAGTCACCTGCAAATAACGACCTCTTTAAAAGAAAACAAGCAAAAACAAAAGAAATGTGACCTTATAGAGTCTTTTATTTTTGTGTCAGAGAGAAAATCTTGTCACAGCAAAGTGTTGATGTCCTGATGGAGAGAGCAATTTTGGGAAGGATAGGGAAGTTTCTCAAGGAAGAAAAAAAATAATGAGAAGGATGAGGCAGGACCTATTGTGAAGTGAAAGAGTGTGAGGACTTCTAGCTATGTATTGTGTCACAACGGTCCAGTTGTAATTTCCTGGGTAGCGTTTTATATTGTGCAATGACAATGGGGAGGATGGGTTGTTGGTTGTTTTGTTTTGTTTTTTTTTGGTTCCTCGGGCTTTTTATTAATGACCTATAGGATTTGTGTATTTATTTTTATTTATTTTTTTTGTTTAACTGCATCCTATCTGTTGGTGAATTCATTGTGGGTAATGGCCTGTATACCCTTAGAGCTTTGGGATGTATGATGGGTAGCAGGAAGGAAGGGCAGGGCGATGAGCAAGAGCTTGTACAAACTAATGCTACCCTTGGGAGAACCGAAATGACAGCTCATTAGCTCCTCTTGCAGGGAAATTCAGCCAACCAAAGTAAGCTCTTCTGGGATGTTGTTTTTCCTTCTTCCTTATGTTTTCAAATATTTGAACAAGTTACACAAATGTTACCTCTCTAAGCATTCTTCACACATTTTGTGGGCTTTTTTGGTATGATGAGGTAGGTGAATAATTTGCTTGGCCTTTTATTTTCCAGACAGCTCCTGGGGTACATAAAAGATTTTTCCGGAAAATAAAAAATCTCATTTCAGCATTTCAGAAGCCAGATCAAGGCATTGTAATACCTCTGCAGTATCCAGTCGAGAAGAAGCCCTCTCCCAGAAGTACACAAGGTACTACAGGTATGGTTTACTGGTAATTTTTGGTAGACTTTGGAAGCTCAGAGTTATGAGTCAACTTACTCATAACCATATGGTTGTGGGGAGTTCTGTAAGAAAAATGAGTTAGACAGTTGATGTAGCCAGCAAATCAAGGGAGAGAGGTGAACATTTTTACATGATGTGATTTCAATATACTATAGTACAAACTTTTAATGATAGTTTTGGTGGCACAAATTGTGCTTGGAAGGAAGGTTGGGCAATCTACTTCCGTAGTGATACGGCCTCGGAAACCCAAGGAGGGGTCGCTATGAGTTGGAACCAACTCCACGGTAGTGAGTTTTTCTTGGCTGGTAACCAGAAGGTTGGCGATTTGAACCCAGTGGTTCTACAGGAGAGAGGTTTCCATAAAGATTACAGCCAAGAAAACCCTTTGGCGCAATTCTACTCTGTAACACATGGGTCACCGGGAACGAGAGTCAACTGGGCAGCACAAGACAACAATAACAGACCATAAACTTTGAATGAAACTCTGCAAAAATACCCCAAATTATATGAGCTCACAATCTTTTAACCCCTCTCATCCCATCTTAAAGAGCTCTGGTGGCACAGTGGCTAAGCGCTTGACTGCTAACTGAAAGGTGGGAGGTTTGAACCCACCAGCTGCTCCATGGGAGGAAGATGTGGCAGTCCACTTCTGCGAAGATTTACAGCCTTGGAAACCCTATGGGGCAGTTCTATCTTGTCCTATAGGGTTGCTGTGAGTCGGAATGGATTCCACGGCAATGGGTTTGGTTTTTTGGGTTTTATCCCATCTTCCATTTCACTTCACTAATTTGGACACTACTAATTTGAAAGATTAGATAATTCAGAGAACATCTGGATTGTCCTTTACTTTACTTAGTCAAGTCTTCTTTTTCTTCAGGGATGTAAAAGCTAATGTTAGCTTGGCCCACATCATCCTGATTTCTGAATTTGTGGTGCTTGAATTAATGAAATTTCATTATGGCAAAAGAGATAGTAAATTATTAGATTTTATTATTACACTAGCACAAGTTGTTACATCTCCTGAACTAAGATGTTTTCAGGGTCTTTGTCAAGCTAAAGCCAGAAAGCCAGCCAGTGTCTACAGCTGGGTGATATGTGATTGCTTATTCATCTACCAAAAGGTGTTAGTCTCTTGTTTGGGGTAAGGGGACCTCTCTCGATTGAAACAATAAATATTTACGATAATAGAAAAAGAATGGTTATATCCTTTTGACAAGGACCCAGACTCAGACATAAACTGACAATTAGACTCAAGTGGTGAATTAAATTAATGACTAGTTAGCTTTTATAATAGAAATGTAAAAAGAATGCTAATTTACAAATTCACTAATTGTTCTTTTCATCTTAGTAATCTATTTTTTTTAAAAAAATATAATTCCATTTTAAGTACTAATTGCTTGAGGTATATAAGTTATATTGTTGTGGGTTTAATGCAGTTGGAAAATTTATGATTACAAATTCAGGTTCAGGAGCCCTGATGAGGCATGAAAGGTTGTTGGTTCGAACCCACCAGCTGCTCTGTGGGACCTGGTGACCTGCCCCTGTAAAGATTACAGCCTAGGAACCCCTATAGGGCTGTTATACTCTGTCACAAAGGGTCATTAAGAATTGGAATTGACTCGAAGGCATACAACAACCAAGTTCGAATTAACTTGTAATTCTAACAGTTCGTAAGTTTATCTTTTCTTGATTTTTAAATTATTTTTCTTTAGGGAGAAGAGATAACCCTGATGTCTGCCTGAAAGCACCATGAAGCAAAATAAAACACCTCATACTTTATTTTCAATAATTTAAATATATACTAAGTCTTGTATATTGTAGATAATTTAGTTCAGTGAGCTACAAATGCTTTTCTAAAGCTATCATAGTCCTGTAATGGCAGCATCGAGCAGGATGCTAAAATTGAAATGGACTTTGTAGATAAGAGGAGCTTCAAAATGATTGAGGAAAAAAAATCCATTGGGTTGTTTTCAGTCATTATATTTACAAATGGGAAGTAATTTAAAGCATAATGGATACTTTATAAAATAATGTCAATTCTTGCCAAATATAAATAAAAATATCCTCTTTTTTGTGACTAAGACACCATTTTTAGTAAAATATTATTTGTTAATTACTGATTTAAAAATTGTCTCGCTTGTTTGCAGGGTGACAAGCTTGTTTGTGTCACTGTCATGTGTGGTTCTATATTGCCTATTATGCTCTCCACTAGCCCCAGTGGCATAGGCTTATTTTGGGATTTATGAAGCTGTGTACTGTGTGCTAGAGCAAGTACTAGACAAAAAGGGAAGAATTTCTGTTTAATTCTGAAAGCAACTTCTTGCTGACTGTTCCAATGTTGAACAGTAGAAGCTACAGACTGATCTGGAGCTTTGTTATTGTTGACTCCGAGCGACCCTATGCAATGGAGTAGAACTGCCCCATTGGGTTTCCTAGGCTGTAATCTTTATGGGAGCAGATAGCCAGAGCTTTTCTCCCATGGAACCACTGGGTGAATTTGAATCACCAACCTTTCCGTTAGCAGCCAAGTGTTTAACCAATGCACCAACAGGGCTCTGGAGCTTTAACGTCGCGTATTTTAAAAATATACTCTACAATGTGTATTGTATTTGATGCTACAGAATTTGAAATTATATTGCAAATCTATATGATGATGAAATGGACTTTTCTTATTGTCATTGACCTCTGCTCCAGTTTTTAGTACTACCTGTACAATGTCATTTTGAAGGGAAATTTCAGCAGCTGTGAACTGATTTGCAAGCAGCCTCCCTATTAAGAAACCTTCCAAGAACATTGAAAAGCTTAGGGTCACATTAAGTTTGAACAATTCCAAGTGTCAAAATTTCATGCAGTGATGAGTATTTGCATTTTCTCCTCATATTGATATTTTCATGACTTTTGGGATTGATTACATGTGAAATTGCTTCAGGGCTCATAGAACTCATCCACTTACTAAATACAGCAGGCAACGGGCATAAAGAAGTAAAAATACCTGGTCCCTGCCCTCAGGTAGCTCATTGCCTTGTTGGACAAGCAGACAATAGGAGTAAAATAAAATTATAATATAAGATAAGAATATATTAGCCTAAGGTGATAAATGCATGATGAGTGCAGTTCCCAGTGCATAGGTAGATCTGTCTTCAGAGGCAGAATGAATCAACACAAATCCTCTGATCCATCGAAAAATGCTAACTTTCATTGAAAATGGATAACTTGGAATTCTGGGTTGTACGTGAATCTTTGTGAACTTGGTTAATGTTAGTGAACTGCCGAGAGACACAACTACTCTCCGTCTGCTGGCAAGATCTGATTCCTGAGCTTCTAAAATGGCTGTTACAGGAGTCCGTAGGTGGTTCAAAAGGTTAAGCACTTGATTCCTAGCTGAAAGGTTGGCGGTTCAAACCCACCTGGAGGTGCATCAGAAGACAGGCCTGGCAATCAGCTTCTGAAAGGTCACAGCCTTGAAAACTCTGTGGAGTAGTTCTACTCTGCACACATAGCATCGCCTTGAGGCAGAGTCAACTCAATGGCAAGTAACAACAATATGGGAGTGCAAAGGCCGAGTCTGACCACAGTAATGCATTATAGTCACCTTAGCATTTCTAGAAATAAAAGCACCACTTCAACTTGTAAGGAGCTCTGGTGGTCTAGTGCCTAAGGCATTTTACTGCTAACCGGAAGGCTGGCGGTTCAAACCCACCACCCACTCCTCATAAGGAAGGTTGACCAATCTACTTCCGTAGAGATACCTCCTTGGAAACCCAAGGAGGGGTTGCTATGAGTCGGGACTGACTCGAGGAGAGTGAGTTTAGTTTGGTTTGTTAACTTGTAAAGGGATTCAGAAAGCCAACCTTCTAAATAGCATGCCCATGTTTAAATATATTTTAATTATTTGTAGCTTGTGTTAACATTTTCGTAAGTGTGACTGATTTTGACTCTAATTTGTTCATCCTGGAATTATCCTAAATATATGAATTATGTTTTTGTGTTCCTTTATCAGAGCCCTTCTTGAAAGGCTTTCTTGAATCATTAATGGTCTTTCACATTTTAATAAAGTCTTTGAAAGTCTTCTTTACTTAATTTGCCTTAGAATATGCCTTTTACAAATATCCAGAGACAGATACTATTCATCTACTAAATGCAACATCAAAGAAGCCCACCTTACTTGTATTAATGAATTGATTCCTTGAAAAAGGTAAGTGCTTTTCTGATTTTGCTCCTGTCAAACTTTGTAGTTGATGTGCCTACACTCTGTCTTTTGCTGGAATTTTTTTTTTCATCAAGTTTTTTTTTCCCCTTTTTCTTCCCCAACCTGAGCATCCTTGCTACTTCCCAGAACAGAATAGCTTGCACCTTTATAGAAAGGTCATATCCTTGCCATATCTAAAATATTGCCATCCTGACATACACCTGTGAGATACTGAGTCAAGGTAGAAAAATGCACATGTATTTCCAAACGTAGACCACTTTTCAAAAAAAACAAACAAAAAAAAAGGTGTGTGTGTGTGTGTGTGTGTGTTAGCAGGCCGACAAGGAACATGACAGCTTATCAAATACTTGTTCATTTCCTCTGAAATTTGTTCTTAGGAGATAAGGTCGGTAGGGTGATGAGCTCAGGTAATTGTCTTTTTGGCTGTTACAGGCAGGGGACTTCGTAGTAGTGCATAGGTAGAATAAGTCTACGGAGAATGCCTCTGATTAAGTCCTCTGGGAAAAAGAAAGGGCTGGACTTAAGATATTCCTCACGGTAGAATGGAGAAAGAATAAGAAATGTGAGAATGAGCCTTAAAAATCAGTTGTTAAGAATATTTAGACATCAGCTTGTATTTTACTTGAGTCACTTTATTGAGCTCAGAATCCAAAGTCAATTAATAATAAAACCTAGCTTTGTCCTTGAGCATGTCAAGGTTACAAGATGCTGGTGTTCCAGTTAGGGTGCTATAAATTCAACTTTGTCACCTGTGTTTGCCCTTGCAGTTAAATGGGATACCATTATGTTGCAGATTGCCCCTAGCAGTGAAGTTCAACTATCCTGTTTGGACACTTTCATCATTTGGGGTCATTGCCAAACTTGAAGCAAAAGGCTGTATTCCCATTAGGTGACTTTTCATGTAAATGAATATTGTTATGTAGGAAGATAAAATAAACCTCACTTACTGGATCACTCACTGCCATTGAGTCGATTCTGACTCGTAGCGACCCCCAATGGGTTTCCAAGGCTGTAAATCTTTCTTCCGCAGAGCAGCTGGTGGATTCAAACCACTGACCTTTAGGTTAGGAGCCAAATGCCTTCACTGCTACACCACCAGAGCTCCTTCATTGACTAGATAGAGCCTATTCAATATATGGATATCACACACACACACACACACACACACACACACACACACACAGACACACAGAGAGAAATTGGACTGTTATTTTACAAGATGACCAATGGAGGTACCATGCTCGGTACTGGACAGAGAAAGCAGAAGCAGGAATGCGTGAGACTAGAATGTTCTTTTCAGCTTTCCCACTGATTATCCATGTGAACTTAGGTAAGTCAGTCTGTTCCTGTTATTGTACTTGCCAAGTAGGAATAATTAAGTCTTACCTCACAGGGCTATTGAGGTAGAGTTAAATAATTTTAAGGTAGTAAATATTACTAAATGTTTAAATAGCATTGCTATTCAAAGAACCTCTAAAAGTGAGGGTTAGTAGGAAGGAGTATGGAAAAATCTCTTATCCTCTTTAATAATGCTCTCAGTGTAGGAATTCCTGCCCTTGGTCTTTTTATACTGTGTGTGTGTGTGTGTGTGTGGGGGGGTGTTTTGAAGAAAAAAAAAAACCTCTCCAGGTGAGGTGTATGCCTCTCCCTCAGATGATACTACTAGGCCCTGATGTTGTATGCTGCTGGGTTGTGCTGGCACAATCAAGGATGTCTTCTGCTCTATGAAGCTTTTTACTGTGTCTGTGTATGTGTCGGTGAATTAAAAATGCAGCAGGACATTTTGCAGTGGTACAAAAAGTCCAGGATTCCAAGCAAGTTCCAGTCGCTGCATAGATGGGTGGATAGGCTGAATGATCAGGTATGTCTAGGCAGCGGGTAGTGTGCCCATGACCATGTTTAGGGTTAGCAGACAATGTTTCTACATGCATATCTGTATCTGCTGTAAGAATGTCTAGGTGAATAGCAGAGCTGACAAGAGGCAAGGTTGTGGTGGCTTCTTGGCCACAGCAAGGTACCCTGAGAGAGCAAGTATTTGGACCTGTGGGCTCGGTTCCCTGGTTGCAGGGGACATCAAGCTCAATTGGCATAACATACTACACAAAAACATTGTTCTACATCCTACTTTGGTGAGTAACGACTGGGATCTTAAAAGCTTGCAAATGGCCATCTAGATGCAACTATGGGTCTCTCCTCATTCAGAGCAAAAAAGAATGAAGAAAACCAAAGATGCATGGAGACAATTAATGCAAGGGACTGGTAGACCGTGAGATCCTCAGCCTATACAACTATGAGACCAGAAGAACTAGATGGTGCCTGGCTACTACTGTCAACCACACAGAGGGAGATTGGTGTAGGAGATCCAAGATAGAGTGGGAGAACAATGTGTAACAAAACTCAAAATCACACACACGAAAAAAAGACCAGGATTGCTGGTCGGATAGAGCCTGGTGAGACCCCTAAGACTATGGCCCTTCAGGTCTGGAATTGAACTCAGTCCTGTGGCTTCCAGCCAAATAATAGACAGGCATCTGAACATTTACAACAGGGAGGTACACTCCTGGGAGAACAGAAGGACAGTGTTTGCACAGGGAGACAGCTTGAGGGGCAGGAGTGCATGGGAGGGAAGGACACAGGGAAGAAGTAACTATGGGGAGGAAGTGGGAAGAGAGCTGTTACATTGTGGGGAATTGCAGTCAATGTCATGAGACAAAATGTGTATGAACTGCTCTATGGAAAATGAATTTTCTCGGTAAACTTTCACCCAAATCACAATAAAAATTAAACAACAACGAACATGTCAAGTGGCCATTGTAATTGCGCAGGACTAGGATCTCACAGAAGCTCTTGTTTCTTAGTCTTTTCC